AAATATGAAAATCCAATAAATGAATCACCAAAAATGATAATTTTGGGAATAATTATTGGGTTTTTACGGATAAAATAGGGCGATAAATTGATTAAAAAATCTTTAAAAATTAAGGAAAAAATAGTAAAACATTTGGACATGCTATTTTGAAAGTATTTTGTATATTAGAAATATATAGGGAAAAATTGGGTATCAACACTCACATTGTCCAAATCTGTATTTACTTTACTGCTTGAGCTGAATACTTGAATTGCAAGCATGCCTACTTTTTTGCATAGTTTATTTCTGTTTACTTATTGAGGTTAAGTTCGTCACTACCTATCAGTCCATAGTTTGGACTTGTTACTTACTGAGTTGGTATACTCACGTTACCCCCTGCACCTTGTGTGTAGATCCACGTATCTCTGGCCACGGTAGCAGTGGTTGATTTACTCAATAGCGGTTTATCGAAGATAGTGAGGTATCTTCCTGGCAATCGCAATCCTGCTTTTCTCCTTCTTTATCTTCCCTTTAGTGTATTTCGGTTATTCTCAGACTATGTTAGTCTTGCTATTTTCATAACAGTTTGTAGTAGTTGCTCATGACTTAGTGACACCCCGATGTCGGGCTATTTATTTCCGCATTTTGCTTTCGAGTTGAACTCTTTTATGAAATTTCAGTATGAAAAAGGCTTTTACCTATCTTTTAATGGAATATCGAATCGTTTTGGAAGTATGTCGGCTTGCCTAGTACCACAATAGGCGCCATCACGACCGGGTTTAGTTTTGTGTCGTGACAAGTCCCTTGTCCGGTGACCGTCTGTCCAGTGGTATTCGCACCATAAATCCCTTTGGCTGGGATCAGATCTTATTGGCTTCAGGAATCATGCTTCCTTAATGTTCCTCATAACCGATTCCAGCTCCACAATGCTGACATTAAAGTTGTATTCGGAAAGCTTGGGGTAGGAAAAATCTCGAGAACCTGACATTTTCGTATCCTGTAACGACCTATTATTTCGGCAGCGATCAGTTCTTCTATCAGTAGCGAATCTATCCGCCGACCAAAAACCTCTGCCGCATCCTTCGTCCCGTTCATAGGGCAAAAATTGACCCTTGAAGACCGTCGATCTGTGTCAAAATCATCTTTCGATTTTTCTTTATTCTTGTCCCAGTCCGACCCCTGGCCCACGTCGGGAACTGAGCTGATCATCCTCAATCTTTATCTTTGACTCGTATCGATTGTGAACATCCACCCAAGTTGTTGCGTAGAACTCGAGAAAACTTTCTTTCAACATCCGGGAAGCGTCATAACTTCTCGAATTCAGACCTTTGGTGAATTCTTCAGCTTCCCATTCGTCTGGTATGGCCGGTAGTAACATCCTTTCCTTCTGGAATCTGGTCACAAACTCCCACAGCAACTCAGATTCTCCTTGTGCAATCCTGAATATGTCGGCCTTTCAGACCTGCACCTTTCGGGCCCCGGCATGGGCCTTGATGAAAGAGTCCACGAGCATCTCAAAGGAGTCTATGGAGTGCTCAGGCAAAAGCGAATACCATGTAAGGGCTCCCTTCGTAAGAGTCTCCCCGAACTTTTTCAGTAAGACTGACTCAATCTCGTGGGGAGCTAAATCATTTTCCTTCACCACCGTTTTATAGGTAGTAACGTGCTCCTGAGGATCTGAAGTCCCATCATGCTTGAAAGTGCAAGAGGGTGGAGTGAATTGTCTATTTTTAAACTTAATCGTTGTTAGTTGACTAGTGTTTCAATTAGTCGACTAGATGTAATAGACTAGCAGTAGTAACAACAGAATATAAGATGCTGAAATTAAATGCAGGAATTAAAGACACCAGAATTTTTATAATGGTTCGGATTCAATGTGAATCCTAGTCCAGTCCCCTTGGTATGCAAGGGAGTTCTCTTTAGTGAATGAGTTTCTTCGAGTACAAGGAGAATGATATGATAGCTCAGTTCCTATATCACTCGTTTCTTTTGATACAATGCCTCACCAGTGTTGTTCTCTCTTCTTTTTTTCTCTGACTTGTTACACAGCAGATCTTAGAGAGCTACAATGTTTGTTTGTAGTAGAACAAAGAGAGAGAATTTGGTTCGATCAAAGTATATTTTGCTAAGGGTGATTACAGGTTTAAATACTTAGAGAGAGGCTCAAATTCTGGAAGGATTTGCCAACCCAAGAGATTTGATCCTTGGAAAGAGATTGATTATTTCCAAGAATAAGGATGTTCTGCAACGGCCCGAAATCTTGATTCTCCATAATTAGATACTTGATTGAATATTCAGCGAGATCTTGATTCATTTGTTTTCTTCAGTTAAGCCTTGATTAATCCATCAAATCTGCATGATTGATTACTTCTTCCTTCAATCGCGCCTTCTTTCCTTGTTGGCTTCTGTTAGATTCCGCCAGTACTGACAGCTACCCAAGAGTTCCTATACAAGGAGAAAATATATTATTTTCATCATTAAAATTTGATGTAACAATACTTTGGCACGTCTGGCATTTTAAACCACTTCGGGATCAGGTGTCGCGCTTGGTTTAAACGACAATTGTGTGTACTTCTTTGAGTCTGGCCCTTTCAGCACTGATGGTGCGCCCGAAACTTGATCCATTCAGGTGTTTATTTCCCTCTTAAACCGCATAAGTTTGATTTTAAAGGGATCATTCTCATTGTTGTTATCGGGTCCGCCACTGTCCCTCTTCCCATCCAGTCCCATCAAAGACGACCTTGCCCCTCGGGGTGTTGTTGTCGACCCTCTGCATTGTTTGATTTGAGGGAGCACTGGGAGGAACTGGAGCTTGTCCATTCACGTTGTTGGAAGTTCCCGATAACGCCTGCTTTAATTCTGTCATGACCTGATCCTGCCACGACAGTGGCCCATAATGGCCCTTTATTGTTCCCTCAGGATCCTTAATGTTTCAACGACTTGCTCATTTTCAGCTTCGTAAGGGGTTGCCTCTCGAACATGTCATGGATATTGCTCGTCGTAAATCGGCGTGGCCTCGTTCCCCCCGTTGTGGGTATCACTGATGGAATCTTCGTGTTGAGGCTGATTTCCTTGAGCCTCAACATTGTGTGTGGTGTTGACATCGTTATCTGCCAGTTTTAATGATTTTTGCTAAAAACAAAGAATCAAACAAGTCAGTATTAGATGCAAGGATCAGTTCAATTACACGACTGTCTACGCCCCACGGTGGGCGCCAAACTGCTTGCCCATAAAACAGTATAATTGAATTTGTACGTGGTTAACAGACAAGTGAATTGATTTGATCCAAAAATAATAGATGAATTAGACAAAAATGTAAGACTTAGGCTTGAAATTGAAATAAAATGGCAGATATCATAATCCTAGGCACAGAGCCACCGGAGGCAGTAAGAACAATACAAATAAGCAAGAAAATAAAATGTTATTGAGATTTTGATAGAATATAGTGTATGCTTGTCAGAAAATTTGTCCTCTTTACAATGATGGTAGAGCTCGCTATTTATAGTTACACCTGGGGAACAAGGTCCTAGGATCAAGCCCTCTTAAATGACAATTATGAGGGCCATTGAAGATTGTGTAACGGTGGGCAATGAATGTCATATTTTCTGTAATGGACCATGCACGTAATGCTATAGAATATTCTTCATCAAATGTTATCGGGTGGCAGGAATTTATTTTGTCTTTATGAATAACATTTTATCCGACGGCAAACAAGATCACTACCTCCAGACCCGACTGTCTAGCTTCTTTCTTCGGCTCCATATGTCGCTTTCTTATGCGATCATTAAATATGAACATATTTTACCCTGTACAAAAATTACAAACCAAATGTAGGAATTTGTCTAATGAATCATTCTTATAAAAAGGCCTCTTTTTATTTACATTTATAGAGTGATCGATGTATATGTTTAATTTGTTTTCTTTTTTATTTAACTATTTCTAGTTTTAATTTAAATTATGTGGATTTGGGTGGTTCAAGGCTTCATATTTCCGGTGGTTGGTAAATTGTGGAAAATTCTATTGGGTTTAGTGCATTCTTTTTTGTTTTAACTGTTGTTAATTAGTTATATTTGGATATAGATGTCATATTCATTTTGGGTGAAGTAGGGAGGTGGTGGAAGAAGTGGGTAAGGGTAGTGTGGTGGCATGCCATGCGATGCCATCTCAGCGAGATATCAGGCCACATGGAATGATTTTGTCCATGTTGGAGGGTGCTAACGGAAGAAGGGTATTTTTACATCAGTTTTATAACGTCGAGGATAAAAATAAACCAAAAGTATAACGGGGTATATATATGATCCTTTCCCATAGTAAAGGAATATTTTTTACCCTTGTCCGAAATTTTTACTATTCAATCCAAAACTTCAACTCCTGCGTCATTACTTTCCAGTTATTCTATTTAAATTAACTATTTCATATTTAGTGACTTTACTTAATTAAAGGATTTTAATCATATGTTCATGTAATTGAGAGGGAGACTTCAGCTGTACGACTCGTGCGAGCACACGTGCATTGCTTTGACTTGTAATGTCCTTCCAGTTTGGCGGCTTCGCTTACACATCGATTTCAGCTCATTTAAATGTATGAAAAACTTAAGGCATTCAAATAAGTAGATTCAGAATTTTAAGAAGAAGAAAAAAACAAGTGATCGGTTTTACCAGATTATCAATTAACACTTATCAAAAAATTTATCACTAATTAATAAATAAGCAACCTAACTTGATTGTGCAGATATTTTTAGCATAATACATAGAATTTAAACTCTCAACTTATGTACAATTTAAAGAATTTTGACACTATTAGTATATCTTAACCTATTATCATAGCTAGCCTGATTTTCTAACTAAGTAAATAATATATCACTTCTTATGTACAGTTATCTGTAATTATTTTTTAGGTGAATTGATAATTATGGAAAATTCTCTTGCATTGTTAGCATAGAAAAGTTAAACTACAAAAATATGTGTAAAACCACAGTGTCCCCTAGCCATCAATATATTAGAAGCTTGATTACTAGAATGGTCAGATATTTTACAAATCTATGGACATTACACAAATAACAGTAGCCAACGACTCAAGAAGTCAATTAGAGTACACTTTTCAGAGGAAATAGTTGCTATTCTAATGCTAGAAACTTATTACTATTACACAGATTAGCAAGAAACAATATTATGAAGTAATGCTCAAGGGCCGGTAAAAACTTACCCATATCCGATATTTGCACACATGGTTCATGCTTTCACTAGGTTGGTGTAAACATCGGATGTGAGTAAGTTTTTACGTAACCTCTCAATGGCCCTACTCATCCTTAACTCCAGTTGCTTTGACGGGGAAGAGTTGTAGGGTTTCGAGGGGTCTGACGTTGCTGCAACAGGGAATAGAATTTTGACCCATATTGTCTGTCATCATAAAGATCCAACCTTGAACATTTGTTCTCATCATGTCATTCTCTGTTAAAGGATGATCCACATTCCCCACGTTGTTCATGATTTGAGCTGACGATGTCTCTTTTCCTTCAGTCTATAATGGAAAGAATAGAGAAATGAGAAAGGTTCTAATTAATTAGTACTTAAAATTATGGAAATTATAAAATATTTGAGTTTAACTTCTATGCACGGATAATATAACATAAAATTTACACTATCAGGTCACTTAAAAGAGTAGAGTTTAATGTGTGACAACCATCTCATTTAGAAACTTCAGCTATTAGTCATGATAACACATTGTTGTTTATTTAATTATGTTTTCAATAAACTCCGTTATGTGTGGGCCTGATTATTTTTTCATGGGCCAAGTGCATGAAAATTGAACCCAAGAACCCTTTCCTTTCCTGCTAATTTAATATCATGTTAATTGTGTAATTATCTCATCTAAAAGTTTAAACTATTAGTGAGAGCACATTTTATCTACTTATTTATGTCTCGAGAACATGAGATAACAGTCCATAATAAGTGGGTAATAACCTAGAAATATATAAGGCACGTAACCTTCTGCGATAGGCTAAATATACTGATAGTGTAAAAATTATTTACATTGTTAGTGCACGTAAATTAAACTATTATGTTGTCCCAATCAGTGGCGGAGACACATGCACCCAAGGGGTGTCAACCGATATCCCTTCATCGGAAAATTACACTGTTTAGCTCGGTAATTTTTAAAAGTATGTATATATACAATATAATAATACCCCTTGACTTCTTGGTGAGTTTGTTTCTTTATATTTTGACTTCCTTTAATGAAAATCTTGACTCTGCCACTGCCCCTATTATAACCGTAGAAGTAATGCATATATTATACTATACACATGAATATGTACCTGGTGAAGAAGTATAGTAGGAGACTGAGGGTAAAGTGTATGGACATTAGGAAGAAAAGTAGGATAATTGTCAACGAAGTGAACGACGTCGTTGCTGTTGGTGTTGTTGATGAGCAGAGGTAATTGAGTATCATTATCTTCAGTAGGGTTTTTCTCTATTTGGTGAAGCAGCTGTTTTCTTAGCTTTTGCCTTTCTCTAGCTTTGTGATTTTGAAACCAGTAAAAAACATTCTTGCATTGAATCTTTCCAAAAAAAGAAAGGTGAGCTGTGATCTTTTGTACTTGAGAAGAAGTTGGATTTCTCAGCCCTTTTCTATACAAATCTTGTAAAATCATTAGCTGTTGTGGTGTTGGACTCCATCTTGGTCGAGGCATTGTGGTAAACAAAAAAAACTATCAAATCAATTTTTTTTTTTTTTTTTTTTTTTTGGTTTTCTCAAGAAAAGAAAAGTTTGTTTTTTTTGTGTTCGGAGTGTATGTGTATATGTTTCTAAAAAGGGTATAAATAGACAAAGATTTAAAATGGGTGGTCAATGCTGATGTAGCCACGTACTTTAGATGAATTAAATGAGGAGTTGAGTCTTATGTTAGAGAAGGGTCATTTAGTAGGTTAGTTATTGATATCGTCATCATCGTCTCTATTATTTAATTTACTCAACTGACACTGAACATTGAAAAAATTACCGCGTGGGATGTAGTGAAGAAAAGTAATACTCCATCCGTTTCACTTTAGATAAAGTAGTTTGACTTGACGCGAAATTTAAGAGGAAAAAAAAACTTAAAATTAAGGGGTAAAAATTTTGTGGGGTCATGCATTTGTGTGGTTATAAAATCTTCTCATTAAGGGTAAAATGGGTAAAACGAAGAGTTTAGAATTAAATCATTTTCAATTGTAGAAATGTGTCATTCTTTTTTTTAACGGATTAATAAAAAAAGTGTGTCATCTAAATTGAAACAAACGTAGTGCTACAAGATTAGATTGTACATTCATTTGTTAAATTGGAGCCTAAAACTAGGCCTGCTCTACTTTCCATTCTTGAATCAAAGCAAAATTCTTGTTGAAAAAGTCAGACGTGACCTTCTTCTCTTATAAATTATTGTAATTACTCTAGAGTTTGAAGTGTAGTTACACTAGAATTTGAAGTCAAAGTTCAAGTGATAGGATAGTTTATAGAAGCTGTGATAATTTGCAAAGTACAGGAAATATTTTCGTGTATCATTAATGGAAGACTTTAAAAAGTTGAGCAGTTATGCTCAAACTCTCAAGGTGATAGAGTTTAAACTATCTCATACTATCACTTGATATTTGAATTCAAATTCTAGGATAACAACACTTCAAACTCTAGGATAACTACAATAGTTATACTAGACTGGTTTCATAGCCTTATAATTTCTCCACAAAATTTATTTAGGATTAATTAGATTTGTCTTACTCGAAGATAAGTTAGGAATGAAATATTCGGAAAAAGATGGGAGTGACCCGGTGGAGGATATATAAGATGCGAGAGGCGAGACTGAGATGGTTCGGCGTGTGAAAAGGAGAAGCACAGATGCCCTAGTTAGGAGGTGTAAGAGGTTGAACTTGGTAGGTATGGGGAGAGATAGAGACAGGCCAAAGAAGTATTGGGGGAGAAATGATTATGCAGGGAATGGCGCAACTTAAACTTACCGAGGACATAGACTCTTGATAAGAGGGTGAGGAGGTTGAGAATTATGAGGCATTTTATTTTTTCATTTCCATACCGGTAGTATTAGTGTTAGTATGGTATCTTTTTATTCTTAGATTGCTATTATTACCTATTGTCTGAGTGTTATCTTTCACTTTGATTTTCTTAATATCTTGTTGTTACTGCTTGTTGCTATTGCTTCTTTTCATCTTTTCTTTGTCCAGAGTCTATCAAAAACAGACTTTCTACTCTTCCAAAGTAAGGGTAAGGTCTGTTGATACACTACGCTCCCGTAACCCCACTTATAAGAATTTATATTGAATTTTTTGTTGTTATTGTTGTTGTTACTCAAAGATCTTTCGATTCTTTTTAATTATATAACCGGGGAGTTTAGGGGAAAGGGGTACAATGAGAATTAAACCTATAAGCTGATTAGGTGGTCACTTCAAGTGCTAGCACTCAAACTAAGCCAAAACAAGTTGGTCTTTATAATGACCAAATTGACAAGGTACCTAAAAATATAGTTCGATTCAGTATTTAAACTTGATATATTCAACTTTTAAGGTTTATAGCACTCGCTCATTTTTTTTCTTCATCAAAAGCGGTGGCGGATGTATGTTGATGGTTATGGCGCTCAAGCACCCATTACTTTTGGAGTCGTAAGCTATTATTTATAATAAAATAAATAAAAAGGCTAGTAATTCTTATAAATATATTAATTGAGCACTCATCTTAATAGTAAGCTTTAAATAAATAATAGTTCAGCACCCATAACTTAAAAATTCTAGATCCGCCACGATCACAAGGATCAAATACTTCATTAGAGATATCATATATACTCCATAATCACAGTAGACTTGTCATGCAGAAAACTTTTTTTCTTTTTTCAAAATTAGTATGAATCTCTAAATGAGCTCCATGTTATACAAGGCAACAATCCCTCGTATAAATACTCCATACAAACCCTAAAAACCAAGACAGGAGACTCTATAAATTGAGTTATGATAATAGGTCGACATTATAAAAATAAAATCTTGTGTATGTCATCGATGGTGCGAGGTTAATCTTTTTCTCTCTTTTTTTTTTTTTTTCTTTGCATTTAGCATATCAATGGTTTCTCTTTAATTTTTGCCACAAGTGCTGATCACATATAGGACTCTGCTCATTTTCTTTACGCGTTGAGTTTTCGTTATCAATATGTACTCACTTTTTTGTTCATGCGTACATACTGTTCAATTCCCATAACTGGTAATCAAAAGTAATAACACTTACACCTACCAAGAGTAACTACGAATAATAATCACATTTAATCAATAATTTATTATCCTCTATATATAGAATAACGTGTATATACTCCATTTTTGGCCAGACATGAAACTTACAAAGCAATAACTAGACAAGTATTATACATTAGAAATGTATATATGTATACTCCATTAATAGTTCTAGCCAAATTATCCATGTTAAACCTTATTTAATTCCTAATAAAGACATTTTTTAATTTTTAAATCCAACTAATTTGCTATTATCGGCCAAATTAGTTCCTAAATAAGTGGGAGTTTAATTATTTGCTTTCAATTAATGAGATGTCTATTTTCCTTATCTACATAAGTTATTGCTTTGTTCATATTTTGCACTACAAATCAAGCACACGGCGCCTCTTTTTGCAGCCAATTTATTTAAGGCGGCTAAATAATGTGCGTTGCTAATCTCGGCGCACAAATCTTCTCTCACTCCAACAAAAAATCTGGTTTTCATTAATTTCCACACTCCCTTGCATTCATTCACTGCCCAACATATTAAAGTAACCTTTTAAATTCATACCCAATATGCGTAAAAGGGTTTATTTTTATACAATATATTTTTTGTACTGTAACTGTGATATTCGAGTCAACTTACGTACAAATTTATATGATATCTACTATCTCCCATCAACATCAGTAGCGAAGCTAAGAATTTCCTCAAGAGTGTTCAAATTTAAAAGAAGTGAAAAAAGTTCCCGACAAAAAGTATTCAATATGTGTTATATACCTTTAAAACGTAATATTGTACCTATATACATAGTGTAATTTTTCGACTAAGGGTGGTCAAACCATTGACCACCCTTATGACCATGTGGCTTCACCCCTGACCAACACATGTATCACCTCCCACCAGCACATCGGTTAACTATGTCTACTAAATTTAAACAAATGAGAAAAAATCACGTAATATTTTTGTCTATATTAGAATTTAAACCTCAGACCGCATAGTTCTCGGCCCACTTTTTAAATCATTAGGCAACATCCATTTTTTAAATCATTAGGCCAACATCCTAGGGTGCCAGGTTTAAGTTATATATACATTGACAAGATTAAAAACAAAACTCAACTTATTACCGCTATTAATATATAGTATCACTTTTATTAAGTTATCAATTAATATTTATTTGAATAATTTACTTATAATAATGTTATAAGTAATTTAATTCTAAACATAATTTTTCATTCATTAGTACATAAAACTTAAACTAATATATCCACCATCAAATAAAAAATTCGAATTACAACAACTCTTTTAGACCGTCCATCAATCAATTATTGCCTACAAAACGATTAACCCCTCTTACTTTCCTAAAAAAAATGTGATTACAAATATAGCCCTGCTTGAGTCATATGAATGGCAAAATGCATAAAGATAAATTTGACACTGTAGTTTACTACTTTTGATAACTTGTAGACAGTTTTGAAAAAGTAAAGAAGAGTAATAAATACCGAACTAGAAAGTGTACTTTTGCAAAATATATGAAAAGTCAAAGAGCATTAAGATACCTAAGTCTAGACACCATTAATATTAATTTCAATCACAGATTAATCATGTACTAGTATCATCACATTATTTGGATATTAATTTTTTTCAAGTTAGTACAAAAGAAAGACAGTACTGTATTGTAAAGGCTGAAAACAGCCGTAGGGAATAGCATCTAATTAATATAACAAAGTGTCACACTAGTTATATTTTGATCTTGTTTGTTGATGTGCTTAATTAATGTATATTTTGAATTCTCATTTCAATAGAATTTAATAATCTTTGGAGTAATGAAAGATCCTTTCAGTTAATTACAATTAGTTAGTAGAACGAAATTAAACAGGATATTGTTTACTGAACATTCTAGAAAAAAACAGAATCGAAAAACGACTCGTTATCGATCCAAATTTTTTAGGGAAATCACCGGTTAGGTCAGCCCATAAGTAAGTTAGTACAAAATTAGCCAATATATAAAATATTAGCCAATTAGCTATTTGTAGCCAAAAAAAATTTTAATTTTTTGCTTTATTCTGAGTGGGTATTGTTGGAATAGATTGGATATATCTTAAGGAGTTTTAAATCTCATTTTTGGGATGATTTGGTAGAGCTTTGAGTTAGTTTGAATTGAAAATTCGATGTAGAATATGAACATGGAAAAAGATGATATGTGTATCATTTATGTATCATATTTGTATCAAATGCGTACCACATGTATATCCATGTAGATCTATTTGTGAGATACATATGTGATACATGTGTCGTAGAAGAATTTTTTTTAACTCGATGTTTACTACGAATTTTGATATCAAATCAGTCCAAATCACCTCCAATTTTCCTCAAAATTTGTATATTGACTCATCTATATGTTTTACCAAAGTGGATGATTGACTCATTCCATACTAGAAATAATCGCAGGAACTTCAATGAGTTTCAACCGTACCCATTAA